ATGTATTAACTGCTGCAGAACTTCACACTTTACATGATAACTGTACACATTCATTCTTGAACAGACTGGCTACAAACTTTTTTAAAATGTGAAAGCAGAACTATGCTGTATTCTAAAGTTTTGGGTCAGAAACTGTGAAATAACATTCCCACTGAATTAAATATTTCTGCACCTACAATATTCTACACAATATTGCTAATAAACTGATGGAGTAGAGCTTTTGGTGTTTATATTACACTGGGGATGGTTGTATAGTTACACAGATAAAGGCCAACTGCTTCAGAAAAACAGAAAATAAACCAGTTCCTTTAGTCTGAAAGAAGAGAAATTAAAATTGTGGAAATAAAGAAAAATCAACAGCTGATAACAATTATTTTTGTGAATACTTGTCTAAAAATTTTACTTCCATTCTCCTCACATGAAAATAACAATTATACATAAACTTTACACATTCAATATACCAAAACTAAAACAGAATAGGTTCTACTCGTGAAGCACCCAACTCTGAGGGTATTCCTATCATTTCATAACAGACCTGCTATGGAGTGACAGACCTCCACGCTTAAATAGTACCCTTTGCCAAGACTTGGTGAAAGAAACAAACTTGTTAATATTAATGGGTAGACTTACCCTTGCCGACCGTTCCATCGTGTAGTCCAGACCAGAGTGCACAATGTCTTTCTCTGATGCACCAGAGATTCTTTTCTGGAATGCTTCAGAGGGGGTTACAGGAATTCGACCTCCAACACGTCCAAACCTTCGCTCCAGTGATTCTTGCACAGATTCTGAAAACATTACACGATGCAACAATAAAGAAATACATTCCATTGTGAATCGTTGGTCAAGATGGTCATAAGAAAAAAGCAGTCTTCTGGGATTTGGCACCGTGTATATGTGGTGTTAACCGACGTTTCGGAGGAACGTATCGCCTCCATCTTCAGGGTAGAAGAAAAAAGTATAAGAAATCTGCAAGCGACAAGACCGTGAGAACGGTAAAAGCATGTGACACAGTACAATGTGACATGACATCAAAAAACCATTAACTCCAGAATCCTGAAATCATACAAGTATTGCAGAAGCATCCATTACTAGGCAATGACAATTACCAAATCCTGACAGCCCCATGCACACATAACAGTCAAGGAACTGCTAGGGGTAGTGTTTTCTCACTGGCCCACAAAAAAGTGATATACAAAAAGCATACAAGCTAGCTGTCAAGTGCTGAGACAGCAAAATATGGTCATGGGTCCCGCTGGACGAGGAACCAGAATGCCTGTGCTTGCAAAACTTCACACTTTACATGATAACTGTACACATTCATTCTTGAACAGACTGGCTACAAACTTTTTTAAAATGTGAAAGCAGAACTATGCTGTATTCTAAAGTTTTGGGTCAGAAACTGTGAAATAACATTCCCACTGAATTAAATATTTCTGCACCTACAATATTCTACACAATATTGCTAATAAACTGATGGAGTAGAGCTTTTGGTGTTTATATTACACTGGGGATGGTTGTATAGTTACACAGATAAAGGCCAACTGCTTCAGAAAAACAGAAAATAAACCAGTTCCTTTAGTCTGAAAGAAGAGAAATTAAAATTGTGGAAATAAAGAAAAATCAACAGCTGATAACAATTATTTTTGTGAATACTTGTCTAAAAATTTTACTTCCATTCTCCTCACATGAAAATAACAATTATACATAAACTTTACACATTCAATATACCAAAACTAAAACAGAATAGGTTCTACTCGTGAAGCACCCAACTCTGAGGGTATTCCTATCATTTCATAACAGACCTGCTATGGAGTGACAGACCTCCACGCTTAAATAGTACCCTTTGCCAAGACTTGGTGAAAGAAACAAACTTGTTAATATTAATGGGTAGACTTACCCTTGCCGACCGTTCCATCGTGTAGTCCAGACCAGAGTGCACAATGTCTTTCTCTGATGCACCAGAGATTCTTTTCTGGAATGCTTCAGAGGGGGTTACAGGAATTCGACCTCCAACACGTCCAAACCTTCGCTCCAGTGATTCTTGCACAGATTCTGAAAACATTACACGATGCAACAATAAAGAAATACATTCCATTGTGAATCGTTGGTCAAGATGGTCATAAGAAAAAAGCAGTCTTCTGGGATTTGGCACCGTGTATATGTGGTGTTAACCGACGTTTCGGAGGAACGTATCGCCTCCATCTTCAGGGTAGAAGAAAAAAGTATAAGAAATCTGCAAGCGACAAGACCGTGAGAACGGTAAAAGCATGTGACACAGTACAATGTGACATGACATCAAAAAACCATTAACTCCAGAATCCTGAAATCATACAAGTATTGCAGAAGCATCCATTACTAGGCAATGACAATTACCAAATCCTGACAGCCCCATGCACACATAACAGTCAAGGAACTGCTAGGGGTAGTGTTTTCTCACTGGCCCACAAAAAAGTGATATACAAAAAGCATACAAGCTAGCTGTCAGAGTGCTGAGACAGCAAAATATGGTCATGGGTCCCACTGGACCAGGAACCAGAATGCCTGCGCTGGCGAAAGCCAGAAGCAATTTACCTGCGGAAAAAAAGTCAGGGAGTCCTGCGACAGAAAAATGTAATCATGGTTCATACATGACCCCCAAGAATATTACTGTAAGCAAGGGCCAAAAGCAGTTTACCAGACAGCAGCAATCTGCCTGACTGCCCGACAGCACAAAATTGAAGTCGGCCTCATGACTCAGAGTCAGGAGACCATAAATATGGTCATATGTCCCATACGACTCAGAACCATGAATAACTATGGCAGCAAATGCCAGCAGCAATTTACACTCAACTAAACCCTAAGCAGAGGATTCACTGCTATCTAAGCCCGCAGCCTAACGACATGTCTGTGACAATACAGCCAACAAGGAACAAGGCAAGAGTGGCATAACAGACTGTGAAGTGATAGTGAATGCTTGTAAACTGTCTAATCATCTGCAGATAAGGGATATCAGTGTCCACTTAATTCAATAACCAGCCAGAACTTGTAGTTTCATCAAAACCACTCATAATATGATGAAACAAGCTACTGGACTGAACAGAACTGCAGCTGACAACATGATGGACATTTCTCATTATCTAGAATATGATGGTACTTGACGTTGAATCCACCATGTAGCGATATGTTGTCCCAAAAACATCATCTTACATTGGAAGTACATAAAATTTTGCATTGGTAGATATTTTTTGACTACATATTAGATTATCTCTATGCATGCATACTAAACAGATCTGCCTCCAGATTGATTAAATTCCCAATTATGATATTCAGTAATCAGATTCTTGAATGCTGACATTCTTTCCTTCCATACACAAGTGAGAAGATATAGCAGTAACAGATTTTGATGGGAACTTACAACAGCCTTGAACTTTTATTAGTGGATAAATCAACAGTTATCTGAAATTCTCAAGGGTTTTACATTTATACCATTCAATGAGAATGTGGTATCTGACTAGTATTGCTTTAATAATATCTCTAAGGAGTACAACTAATAACACAGTCATGTTAGATAATCTTCAGTTATCATGGGTTAGGCCCTTTTCCAATTCAGAATCGACTTCTGAAACAATAAATTCTTTCAGATCTGATGAGTTCCCGAAATGGAAGATCAGTCAATCATAAAGCACTTACTTACACTAAACAGAAAAGTGCAGACATACATCAATACCCCAAGTGTGAATCGCCCATAATCCCACTTTTGAAGCAATCCAAGGCAATCTGAACCTTAACGTGCACAGCCTCAGCCACTGACCTGTCACACTTGATGTCATATTTTCCTTGAACTTTAGTGTAACAACTCACCTGAAGATAATTCATCAAGAATTAAAACGTGGGGGAACTATTTCTATTAAAGAATACAGCCTTCAAACAGCATCATCAATATATATACTGTCACGTGTTGGGTATGTCACATGACAAATAACTTTATGCCGTATTGGATATATCAAATTTATTGCACTCGCTCTTACAATTACACAATTCACAACTTCCCAATTACTGTCATTGGCAGTATCACAAATACTTCTCCTGTAGTTACTGCCAATCACTCGATACAACCCTACTCATCGACTGCAAGATTGCAACTCACTAGTTACTGTCTCTCTAGTAACTGGCTCAATACTTACTACTGAATAGTGTCTGCTGCTCCTTATTTAGGCTAGGAACGGACATGACAGAAAACAGTTACGTGACAGGTACCGCTGTTGCGTAATGTCATGTTTACTAATTGCCTAGCAACAGTCATTACATGGGCTCCCTTGTTGCATCACTGTGGGAAGTGTTGTTACATCACAGCGGGAGGCAACAGAGTGTTTACCGAGCGTTGCGTAATAATGGAAGGGGTGGGGATATGTGACGTCACTCGCGAGACTGCAGATTTCACGTGACCCCTACTTCCGGTTGCGGCATCCACGTCACAATACATGTATATATCTGTACACAAAGGGATACTTACCAAGCAAATGGTAATTTGATTCTCTCTCATATTTAAATGTTAACCGACCATATGAAACATGATTTAGGTTTTTGAGCCATTCAAAGAATGACACAGTGACACCACCAGCGTTTATATACAGATCAGGGATGACTAGGATATTACGATCAATAAGAATTTTATCAGCAGCAGGAGTTGTTGGACCATTAGCTGCCTCTGCAATAATCTGTCAACAGAAGACCATTGTAAGTGCTGGTTATATTCAATTTTAACTGCCATAATCTAGAAAGTACTA